TTACTTTTTGTCCTATTGAATGAAATGGTTCTCAAACTATTTTACCGACAGTAGTTGGTAAAGAATGTGATTTACCCCCCCCCCCCCCAGGGACGTTTACCGCTCTTCTCTCGAACGATATAGAGTGTATATAGAAAATTTAGTCTACCCCTCCCCCGAATTTTTCAAATGTCCATCGTTCCCCCCATGAGAAAAAAGTCTGAAAGAAACACTGAGGTTTATTACCCCCTAACCCCCCACCCCAACTAACGCCACCCTTTTCCAAATCCCGTCCCCATAGCCACATCGTCAAAGACTACAATGACGACAGAAATTAACCTCCCCAGGCCCACCCCTCAAAACCCCACAATTAATTTTTAGAAATCCATCGTGATTTCAATATTTTAAGGTGGACCTTCAAAATATTTGAAAAAAAGCATATTCCTTGAATCACCCCTTCCCCCTCTGACCCCCCCCCCCCCCCACACACACACTTTACTGCCCTCTTCCCCCAGCGTACCACACTGTCTCAAAATGACTACCCCCTTCCCTTCTCTCTTTGGAGTGGGGTTTTATGGACGACCCCCCTAACCAAATCTACGAGCATGCCTAACAACGTGGGGAGAAAAAAATGACAAGCGGATTTAGATTTCGCGCGCTAGCCCCCACCAACCCGAGGCTTGTCGAGTGCTGTTCGCCGGCCCGCGCGTGAAGAAGACGAATCGAAAAGAAAAAAGGGGGGCGGGTGGTAGTATTGTGTTTCCTGTCTGGTACTAAACGGTTTGATAACAATTATAAACAAACCGTTCATACACGCCGGCTAGTTAGCATATCAATACTTGTGTGTATCCGATTTTTTTTTATTTTTATACAAAACGATTTCGTTTTTTATTGCTTTATTTTTTTTTCATAGCCTTGAAATATCGATAGCCATTGGATGATTCACACACGTGGGGGTCGCGTCTCGTTCTTGTGTAGCAGACGAGCCGAGTCGATGTAACGGAATGGAGTAAAGAAAGCAAAACAAACCACTACCGGTGTGTTGTGCTCACAGTTCACTCGTCGGAGTATAGAGATTTTTGTTTTGGTGTGTTTCTCCTGAAGGTTTTTAACACACTGGTCATTTGAAAAAAAAAACACGGACTATTTCTAAGATGGACAAAAAATCTAGGTGATATTCAGGATCTACATCTGTTACCTGTGAAGTGCGATTACAATCTTTAAAAGGTGAGTTGTAGTTTTTTTATTGCTTTTTTTTCTGAGGGTTTCTTTGCGAGTTCGGGTCGATGTTTTGAATTCAATAACATCATAATCGTAACTCTCAACGGGTGTGTAGCTGACGTGAACTGTGTCGACACTCAAGCGGATTGCAAAAGATTAGCAGGCCTACGTATTTAACATTTTACGTTTAAATATTATAATCATAAATAGATGTATGTATAGAATCTACATCTAGATCTAGATCTATGTGTTTGTCTATTCCCTGTTCATAGTAAATTAGTAATTAAGCCATCATTTAACCAAGATACTAACGACATATTAGTCGTATTGACAGCAGGCCTATAATCACACTCTAGTGAGACTATGTTACTTGAGTCTAGATTTGTAGCGAGTATAGACTAGTTAGTTATTAAAATATGCCTACTTTTACCAGATCTGTAAGCTTAATTGTTTTATTATTTTATTTAAAAGTAGTGTTACTCGTAGGCTTTACAATTATACAAATAACTCGCCCATAAAAGACATAACTGTAACAGTTGGTTAGGATTAGGCAAAGGATTTACAGTTAATATTATTAGCCAATATAACGAATAACTTGTCTATGGCTAATCAACTATTACCATATCTATTTACGTATTTAGATACCTCCCTAAATAATAAACAACACAATGTTCTAACCCGAAGCCTACACAGTTGCGGCAATCGGCCATCCCTACAATAGCTCACAATTAACTCTAATAAAGTCTCGATATTGACAACTGAGTAAGGCTAATCAATAACCCTATGGTTAGAACGTGTCTGTACAATTAGTAATAACTGTCACACGTAAGTGTAAAAAAAATAAATAACGGACCTACTTCAGTGTGTTGTCTTTGGTTTTAGCGTGGATCTAGTTAAGAATTTAGAGATACATTAAAAAGATAATGAAAGTGATAATAAAAAGGTGTCTTATTAAACAGATACGTTGTGAGTGGAGGGGGGGGGGGGGTCAGCGTTTCTTTCAGACTTTTGGCCAGGGGAGGGGGCTAAATTTTTCTAGGACAGGGTTTCTATTTCATTTCTTTTTTTAGGGGGGGGGGGGAGCGGTGCCCCTGCCCGACAAGATGCCTGGAAAAACTTGGGGGGGGGGAGGAGTTTAGTGGCGAGTGCCATGTTAGCTAACTACTTACTTGTACTAGAGAGCAATAGTTACCCCTTTGGCAACAACAAGACAAGGGTTAGGGTTATACTGAGGGCTGGGGTGATAGGAATAGACGGGTTTTGATTTCGTCTGTCCAATTTGGGGGGGGGGGGGGTGTCTATGCTGGAATGAAATGTTACTTTTTTTTTACATTTAGGGATTGCATGTACCGTTTTAGTGTGAGGGTGTGTGGGGAGGAGGGGGGGGGTCATATTTAGAGCAGTGATATTATTATACCATTGATTCGATATAACATGTGCGGTTAAAAAAGTACTAAGCCTTGTATATAATACTTAGATCTTTAATAGAGCATCCTTGGATATACACATAGTTCTTATATGGAACATAGCTTTGGGTATATATAGGTTACTTAATTTCTATATATATAACTTAGTCTTGTATATATATATATATATATATATATATATATATATATATATATATATATATATATATATATATATAATTATTATATATAACTTAGCGTTGGATATAAACATAGTTCTTTTATAGAGCTTAGTCTTTGGTATATACATCGTTCTTATATAGAACTTAGCTTATATAGTTCTTATATAGAACTTAGCCTTGGGTGGTATATAGGTTACTTAATTCCTATATATAACTTAGCCTTGGATTTATATACAGTTATTATATTATATATCACTTAGTCTTGGATTTATACATAGTTCTTTTATACAACTTAGTCTTTGGTATATGCATAGTTCTAATATAGAACTTAGCCTTGGGTATGTAGGCTGCGTAGTTTTTGTATAACGTTTAGCCTTGAACAGAGACCTACGGAGTTCTCAAAGAGAACCAAACCTTTAAACATGTATGTACACACGTTAAGAGCTCATAAAGAGGAGCTGAGTTCATCTTATCGCGAGACTAACAGTCGTTGTTTCTTTACCTGATAACTGAACACAGAACAAGGTGCGCCAGGTAGTGAAAGGCCAGTGTGGGCAGGGGACAAAGGCGGGGTTTAGTTTTTTTTTTTAATGTGCGCCATTCCTGGAATGGTAATAGTGTCAGTGTCACATCGATGTTTTTTTTTTAGTTGACATGCGAGGTTTTATTGACTTGGGTTATATCTAGTGTAAGGTCTAAAGATATTTTGGAGTATGGCAAGGTTTAGGGTGAATGTTTCTTTCGGGCATCTCGTCGGGGGTGGGGGGGGGGGGGGGGAGAAGTACTATTTTCCTTTAAGGGATCATTCATAAATGACATCACGCTTTTTTGGACGATTTTTACCTCCCCTCCCTCCCCTCCTTCACACATCGTCACAAAAAGCCAGACCCCCCCCTTAAAAAAACGTCACACCTCAGCCTACAACCCCCGTCAAAATTGCAGTTGAATTTTTCTTATAACATCGATATTTTTCCAAAATGTTATCTGAACTAAGTCAAAATAGAGTATTTTAATCAATTCCTATTGCAATTGATTAAAACAGTTTTCTAAAACGCGAAATAACGTCTAAAATTCATTTTCTAACATTGCTTTTTTAAAATTAAAAAGTGTGACGTTGCACCATCTGAACCCCCCCCCCCCCCCCACTCCCCCTCATCACACACCGTCACAAAATTACGGAACCCCCCTCTATGTGTAACGTCATTTATGGACGACCCCTTTTAAGTGAAGGTGCTATTTATCTTAATCTGAAGATTTGTATATGTAGGTTTATACAATCTTATGCAGTATTTGACTTCCTTTTTCGTGCAACTTAGAATAAAACAGTATCGGGATTTCCCAGAAAGTTATTCTATGTTATTGATCACGGTAAAAATAGATCAGCCGACTGTATTTACATTGAATTTGTCTGTATAAGGAAAGAAGAGCAGCGTATGTATTTACTTCATGGATAATAACTGCCAATAAAGCAATGCATCACAGTTGATTTTGATGAACTTTTGTTATGTTGAGAACCTTTGAATGTCACGTATTTTAGTGAAAAGTTAATTCCTGTAGGTTTTTTTTTTTTTTTGCATGTTTTTTTAAAGGACTATTTAATGTCATTTGAGGATTCTGTAACATCACATGTTTTAACATTTATACTCTGTCTGAAATCCCTTGAATATCACGTATTTTAGTGAACATACAGAAGTATATTGTAAAATGACACTTCTATGTCACGTATGTTAGCTAGCCACGGAAGTTGTATGGGAACGTTTTTATGTCACATAAGTTAGCCACGTATGTTGTATGATGACCCCTGCATGTTATGTATGTTAGCAAGCCTCGTATGTTGTATGGTGACCCACCTATGTCACATAAGTTAGCCACGTATGTTGTATGGTGACCCTTGTATGTCATGTATGTTAGCAAGCCAAGTATGTTGTATGGTGACCCACCTATGTCACATAAGTTAGCCACGTATGTTGTATGATGACCCTTGTATGTCATGTATGTTAGCAGGCCACGTATGTTGTATGGTGACTATTTTAAGTTGCAATATATGTATGTTACCTATGTTAGCAAGCCACGTGTATGTCACGTATATTAGCAAGCCACGTATGTTGTATGGTGACACACCTATGTCACATAAGTTAGCCACGTATGTTGTATAACGACCCTTGTATGTCATGTATGTTAGCAAGCCAAGCATGTTGTATGGTGACCCTTTTAAGTTGTAATATATGTATGTCACCTATGTTAGCAAACCACGGGAGTTGTATGGGGACGTTTCTGTGTTACGTATAAATGTATGTTGTATTGTGACGAAGTTGTATGTCACCTATGCTAGCAAGCCACGTATGTTGTATAGGGACCCACCTATGTCACATAAGTTAGCCACGTATGTTGTATAACGACCCTTGTATGTTAGCAGGCCTCGCATGTTGTGGTGAGTACCATTATATGTGTATCTCACATATTCTATCAAACTCAGAAGATAAAAACATTTCGCCAAGAGAGAAAGTCAAACGGCTGACAGGGACAATGTGAGAAAATCCGTGCTCGTTATCAGTCCCTGCGTCCTTGGCAACCAGTCGCCATATTTACACAGCACTTGTTTATACAATAAATCTCCATATCTAACATTCTTTTTATGAAAAAAAAAATTCCAGATACACATCATGATACTAAATATAATATTTGTATTTTACCTTAAGGTTTTCATTGCGAATTTTAGATCTGTATGCATGTATATGTGGTTACAGAGGCGTAGCGAGAGGGGGTGGGGGTGTGGTGCGGACCGCACCGGGTGACACCATTTAGGGGGGTGACACCAAGACAAAAAATAGCAAAATATATAGAGAAAATTTGAGGGGGGGGGGGTGCAAATCGAAAGTTTGAGACGGGGGGGGGGGTGCAAATCGAAAATATGAAAGTTTGTCCCCGGCAAGGGTCGCTACGCCTCTGGGGGGGGTTGACACCATTAAATGCCACTACGCCACTGTGTTTACTACTTTCATCTAGTGGATGAGGGAGGGGACACCATTTATATTTCATTAAGTGATTCGCACGAACTTTCATCACGGTCATTATAAAGCTTTCTTCGCTGGTCGTTGTAGAAGTTTCCCATTAGTTAATATAGATCTTTCATTTGTCACTATTTTAAGAATATGTCTAAATAATATTGAACTTCTAAATGGCGACTCCCCTGAAAAGTTCCAAACATAAATATAAAATACAGACTATTAAAATATATCATGTATACAGCCAAATAAAAATAAAACACGTTGTTTGCAACTAAAGTAATTCAGAACAATATTGTTTTTATGTTATTTATTTGTATGTTCAGTATTGTTGTCTTGCTTTATTGTGGCTGTCAAGGTCTTGTTTTGTTTACGTAGTTGTTTGTGTGTCTTAATAAATGTGAGTCACACACACAAAACCTGGCATGTACCGGTACTTGCCTTATTGTACAGGCAAGGTGTAGTGTTTGTAGGGAGTGTTTCGTGATTGGGTGTCTCATTAAAATTTACTCTCCTACCGAGAACAGCGTCGAGGGTACGGGTACATCGAGGGCTGGGTATTGATTAATGACAGAGCGATGCTGGTTGCTATGGACGCTGTGTCTGTTGTATTGTTCATCGTGGTCAGTTGTTACACGATGGTTTGGTTTGATTGCGATTAATCCTGTGTTGTGGGGCTCCCGGGAGTCGGGATGAACGTCAGAGTAGTTGATAACTTTTAAGGGGGGGGGGGAAGGGAGGGGGCGTTCCGGTTATGTCGGGGTTAAGTTGAACGCAGAGTATTTGGGGGGACGGGACTATGGGACGGCATGGCCTAGTGGAAGGGCGCTAGACTGCTAACCTAAAAGTCTCGAGTTCGAATCTGGTATCACGTCAGTAGAACGTCTCTCAGTCCACTCAGCTCTGATTGGTACCTAACTCATGTTAGGGAAATAATGCGGCTGGGCATAGTGCTGACAAACTATACTTTCATATGCAGAGGTCACTGAAACAGATGAACTCTACTTATCTGCCAATGTGTCTTGTGCACGAACGTGAAATGAAAATCATATTTGGGGGACATAGATAAGAGTTAGAGTTAAGTTTAACGCAAAGTATTTGAAGTAGACAGCGTTATATTCAAGACGAATTATCTGTAACAAATAGCGTTAATTTGAAAAAATCCCTGGTTGAATAAAAAAAAATTACCTCTTTTTTACGTAACAAGTTATTCAATGAAGCTTTGAACGGTTACGTTTAGTCGTGTGTTCGTGGGGATATGGGGAGGTGTGTTCATTATAAATCAGGTCACGATAAATAAGGCAGTAATGTATGACACATTGATCATATTATGTAGGCTATAGTATATATATTATTATTCAACACTATTCAAATGTTTAATTACGCGATTGACACTTCTTAAATATTTAACTCGAGGCGAACACGACCCTCGTGACGTCATTCATATTTCTGTTTATTTGTTTTACTAAATGTATCTGTCACTTCCATTGAGTCATTGTGTGTATTAAAGTCTATCCAAATAGAAAGCTGGCTGAAATCGTTATAAATCAGGGACGTAAATCACAGTATGACACCATCGGGGATGGGGATGACACTCAACTTCCTATTGTTATATATATATATATATATATATATATATATATATATATATATATATATATATATATATATAGTAATTTAAGTTGGGGGTGCTACCCAAACAAGTGACGCCACCGAATATAAGGATACAGTCATTTAAAGAAACAAAGTCGTAAAAACGTATGTTAGTGTATTGATACTTTCCAAATATGTAAATGGGACAGTTTATTACATAGTTTTTTACACGCAAATTTTACCGACCAGACTGTCTCTTATAATTAATCTACCTTCTACACCTAATTGCTGGCCTGCTGTGATTAAACCACAAGCTGCTTGAGTGGATCATGTATTTAATATGCAACAGGTGCATGATCCATACGGCTCTGTTACCAATATAGGCCTACATTGGTATCGTTTTCACGTGTGTCATAGCTTATTTTCTCATTACGAATGGACATGTAAAAGCACAGAGCTATCTGAAATGAAGATGTGTGAAGAATTACGATAAAATTCTGTACCCAGAATGCGTAGTGCTGACCACACTATCCCTCCATGTGCCGAAGTCAAAGAAACATTCCGCCCTCATCTGTTTTATTATGTCACTTCTGGTACCAAAGACCTCCCCTCTATATTCATGTTGAAAATGGTCCTTTGATCTGCCCTGCCCACCTTATTGACCACCATATTTGAAATAATTACATTACCCTTCATCCCCACTGGTCAAGTTAAAAGTTGATCTTTGTTTTATCGTCTTTATATCAGTGACCACGGGAGCCTCACACTATTCAATTACGGCCCACCCTCTGTGGTCGTGCTTTAAGCATTCAACGGTCGTGTCTGGAATGACATCACGTGACGTCTGGCAGTGGCCGCCTTGATTATAATTAGCAGGATGCAACACGCATCGCATTACGGCGTGATTGTCATCGCGAGAATAGATAGCTCGCCCACGGGCTTTGTCGAGGGCTTGCTGTTGTTGTGTGTGACAGTATCTCCTTACAAAAAGAAAAAAACAACAAAAAAAACAGCTGCATTGAGGATGTAACCACCTACGCAATTGATTGGACGAATGCCTAGTAAACAACGCTTAAATAACCGTAACAAATTAAGATTTGATACGCTGTCTTTCAAACGCATGTATTATTTTTTGAAAACGGCTTTGAAACCATCCCTTTTAAATAATACAATTTCGTTTTAGATTTGATACGGTGTCTTTAACATAAATTTACATAGCAATTATTAATTCTCTCCCTTGACCTACATTTGATTAAGAGTGACCGCACCTGCTGTTTCAAAACCTAACGGGATTCGACTTTAAAAAAAACCCAGCTACTTTAAATATTCATAGGGCTTAGACTTTTATTCGACATCGATTCAACGACACGTCTTTGAGAATCGATACCTTGAAACGGGAAATGGTATTTATGTATACACACATGGTACTCGTGCAATGTATGTGTAATCAAGAACTTATATTTGAATCGATTTTGTTCATTCGACAACGCAATCGAGACCATACTTGCTTGTAATGCTATCTTTTATATATCTTTTTTTTTATAAACCAAAATGGTGGATGGAATTTCATACAGTTTACAGTATACTGATCAGTGGCGCCACTGGGGCGAGTGTCACCCGATGCCTTAACCGAGGGTGACACCCCCACCCCATCCAATGATTTTCCATTTTCGATTTATTGTCACTACTCTCCCCTACTGTTTTGTTATTTTAACGGACGAATACATGATTTTAACTGTAAATTTTATCTTTTTTTTTCGTCTTGGTGTCACCCCCCTTACATGGCGTCACCAGGTGCGGATCGCACCTTTCCCGTGACGCCACTGATACTTTTGTTAAAGTACCGCCACTTTAAAATATTATTTGTTATATGACCCGGCAGGGTCTGGAAAAAAAATAGAGGGTCGGATACTACAAGCAGAGTTTCTTCCAGGCATCTCTCCCTCCCCCCCTCGCCGAAGAAAGTCTACCGCCCCCCCCCCCCCCCCGAGCGAAATGGAATTTATATAGAAAACATATACTTTTACCAGTGTACCCCCCCCCCCCCCCCCGGAAAATGTTGTCCGCCCCGCCCCCCCCCATCCCGAAAATATCAACTGCCCCCCCCCCACCCGGGAAAAGAAGTCTGAAAGAAACACTGGCTACAAGATCACTAAGACTTGCAACAAATGTATTTATTTCTTATATAACGATGTCCGGAAATATTGTTTAAAAATATATGTACGGATCTTACAGTATGACTAGTTTAAAATTTATTTTTGTTCTTTTACAGGACGATGTCCGGTGATCAATAAAATATGGATTTAATCAGCAACCGACCCAGGCAGGCCTGTCGGTCAAAGGTGCTGACCCAGATCTGTCTGTTGACGCTGGTCGTCGCGCTTCTGTTTGGACACGTGGACAAGGTCAGGGCTCAGGGTGAAGCTCCGCCGACCTCCACAGGTAAGTCAGGTACCAGGGCGATACCTTTATGTTTTACCTGTTGGTCACGGAGGTCAGTCGTTGTTGAAGATTAACAAAACTTACTAAAGTATTCGCTAAGGTGACTAATGAGAAGATACTAATATGGGATGGGTAGTTCAAAGTTTAAAAATAAAAATGAATTGTAATATATTTATACTTGTTTTTTTTTTAATTTGGGGGGGGGGTATTTATTCTGCGTTAAGTTTTAGAAGCTTTTAACATTATATGAGTTGCCAACTCCCCCCCCCCCACCTTGCGACGCCATTTACTACTAGCTCAGTAACCCTATTAATCATACCACACCACCCCCACCCCATATATCTCTTGCTTTCTGAAAGCATAATAGTTTTTTTTTTCATAGTTTATCCTAAAATACAAACATCAAAATAAAAGATTTCATTTTCAATATTGTCAATTACAATCAGTAACTACGAAAACCGTTATTTTTTTCTTTTCGTTTTTTTTCCCTGTTACCTGTTTTGTATCTGCCCTGTACTAATACGCGTGTTTGGTCAACGCCTCTGAGATCGAGATCTTCTGCACCGCAGTGACGGTGGACAAATACGCCGGACAGTCTGATGCATCTGGACCCCCTCGTCGTTTAGCACTAATGTCGAATTGGAGGTCTCATACCCCCCCCCTCTCTATAGCTCCATGTCTTCCCCTTCCCCCACCCACATTTGGTCAACGCCTGTGAGATAGACATTTTCTACGCCGATGATGGATAAATGCATCTGGACCCCTCTTCGCTTAGGAAATGTCGAATCTCATGGACCCCCCCCCCCCTTTCAACTCCACGTCTCCCCCTCACCCACATTTAGTCAACGCCTCTGAGGTAGACATTTTCTTCGCTGATGATGTATAAATAAATACACCAGGCAGTCGAATGCAATTGGACTACTCGTCGCTTAGCACTAATATCGTAATATCTTGTTCGGGGCGGGGGTCCATGACTCTTTCCCACTACCATTCTCCTCTCGTCCCCCCCCCAACGTCCCCCCCCAACGTCCCCCCACGTTTGTTCAACCCCTGTGAGGTAGTGATCTTCTCCTCCGACGATGGAGGATAAATACGCCGGACAAACACAAGCATGTGGACCACTAGTCGTTTTACAATGATTTTCTTTTTGGTAGCCTCTCGCTCCCCCCTTCCCCAATTCACCCCCCCCCCCCCCTCTGCTTACCGCCACTCCCCACTTGCCTAATCAACAAACACGTTTTCCCAGGACTAAAATAGGCCCTAATACACTCGCTAAACCGTTATCTGTCAGGACGAGGGCCCACTTAAAGGACCTGTCTTAAATCAATTACCCAGCTCTTGTTTAACAGTTTGTAACGTTTAAAAGGACTGTTTACAAAATAAATAAAAATCTAGGCGCCGAAGATCTTAAAATCCTAAAATTCCTTATAAAAGAACGTTTTTTTTTTCAAGACTTTATTTAATTGCCGAACTTGTAGTTTGATATTAAAAATGACGATTATTATTATTTCACGATTTTAAACAATATTATAATACAACTAGAAAAAAAAAAACAACAACAAATAAATCATTGTAACATTTATAATCTTGATTTTAAAAAAAAACAGCGTCGTTAAAATGCTGATAAAAATAAAACCAAACACAATAAGTGCCAGCTTTTGACTTGCATTAATCTTAAGCCGAAAGTAATTGAAAATTATCTTCCTTTATCTTGTGTATTTGTGTATTGTTTTTCTAAGGTTTAGAGTGTACTTTCCGCATGTGACAATCGATTTAATGCCTTGTACAAAACCGACCCCTCCCTCAAGATTAATCATCATGACGTCCATGATCTATACCTGTGTTGACCCTGCTAAATTTTTTTTTATTTACATAAGGTTTCATAGCTACATATGTGTACCTGCAGCTAAGTTATTCATTTCATATGAGTTTGTCGCATCTAGTGAATGCAAATGAGTATAGAAAGGTGTCGTTACGTATTTGAATCGATTATAATGATCTCCCTTACTCAGCGATTACTCCCCCTACCACTTCATTTATTCCCCCTCCCCCCTTACTGTTTGCTATCCTTATCTAATTTTTAAAATTTTGATTGTTTTCCTCTGTGCGATGTTTAAACTATTATTACTTGTTTTAAATTTTGTAATATAATAGTAATGTTTATTATGTGTATTTTCATTATTGTCAATCAGAGATAGTTTTATTTAGACATGTAATTGCTAAGTAAGTGTTAAAATGGCTCTTCTTGTCGCCTGTATCAAACTATATACTTGTAAATATTTGTGTGTATATATATATATATATATATATATATATATATATATATATATATATATATATATATATATATATATATATATATATATATATATATATATATTTATATATATATATATATATATATATATATATATACAAACAGGAAGGTGCAGGATGTTTGTTAAAAACGCCTAAATGAGATCGGGTACTATTTTTCAATTAGGGAAATATAAAGTATCAATTACATCTCTTTCTCAAGATAGCGGATATTTATGTAAGCGTACACGCCATTTTCGAATACATTTCAGTCACCTCAACTGTCTCTTGTGTTTGAGTAAACAAAGCTCTCAAATTCTCTATCTTGGCTCCTCTGTTCGGTTATTGCCCTTGGTTATACTAAAACAACATCGTGACACTGACTGTGGTATGTTTCTTTTGTATGACTTTCCCCACGTATTTCTCACAGACTATAACAAATATTTGAATCAGACAAGCATATCTCGTTTCCTGAACTCGTAGTTTTTGGTACATTAAAAATACCTTGACCTCCACCTTCGAACTTGACGTAAAAAGAGGTTAGCTTGGCTGTGTTTGCTGATATGAAAGTTAGTTCGTCTTAAGAAAAAAATGAACAGGTTGAAAATAAGCTTTTAATACTGTTATAGGACTTGGAAAAGAAGTTATCTTTCGTAAAGTCACTAAAAGAATCTTTCGTAAAGTCACTATAAGAATTTAAAATATTTGGCAGACGTAATCTATCGTTTTAATATTCCGGTCCAATTCGGAACCGCATGAAGAATAAATCGCGCGTACCATGATAGCAATTCAAAACCGAGGGACTACACACTAGTTCAATGTATCACTACACCACAATCAACGTGTTTAACAAAAACTCCACTGTGAGACGCGGACAGACAGACAGAGCCCGGGGGTGGGGGTATGAATATGATATCTCCTTCATTATTGGCCGTTCATAGATTTGTTCACTGCTGGGGTATCGGATAACCAACTATGTACAAAACATGTTGTCCTTTATTTACATTGGGGCCGAGTTATTTAAAGAGAGACGTAGAATACTAGTCCATTGTAGGCTTACACGTTTTACAAAAATACGAAACAAATAAAAATTTGTAGAATACCTGATAACACCATTTTCGTTATTATATAGGAGATAAAGGACAATATAAGTTTATTGTACATATTTACAAAACATACAAAACAAAATAAAGGGTTAGAGAACTCTTGATAACACATCTTTCGTTATTATATTTTAGGAGATAATTAAAGAAGCGCGTGTCTCTGTTTATAATAAATAGCGTCACGCTATTTTTTGGTCGGTTTTTTTGTACTTCCACCCCCCCTCCTCAAATCGACGCACATCGTCACAAAAAGGCCCCCTCCCAAAAATTACCTAAGCCTAGCCCCAGACATAAACTCACCCAATCGCCATTTAAAAAAAAAATCGGGAATATCTTTTGTTTATTATACAAAATATTGACTCTCCCGTCATCCCCCACTTGTTATACATGGTCACAAAATCCAACCGCCTCTTCTCCTCCCTTCTTTACGGGTGACCTTTATAATGACGACCCTTACATGTCTCAAAGCAAAAAGGAAGACAATCTCTAAACAAAATCAATACTCATAACAAATTATCCTCGTTCAGATTTATCCTTGTTCCCTCTTAATTGATGACGTTACGTCACTCTGGTCACGTGGTGGTCACTGATCCCCTTGATTAGCTGGGTCAACACCGCAGCTGTCCCCACCGCCGTCGGAGCCGTTAAAATCTGGGCAAACATCCTTCTGCTTTATGGTGTTGATTCTTCATCAGACCGCGTCCCCTTCACCCACTCCCCGAACTCACTTTGAGACATAGCCTCTTTAGAAGAAGAAAAAAAAAAGCCAAATCTGGATACTGATACATTTTTATTTGCCCAGGTTTTATCAACCGGAAGTTGCCCTTGAGGTTTCCTTTTTTAAAAATTATCTTTTTTTCCACCCCCCCCCCCCCCCCAAAAAAAAACCACCTGGTCTTTAGGTGATGCTACTTTTCAGCGTATGTGAAATAAACTTGAAGGAGAAGTAAATTGACTTTCTCTGAAGGTTTTAGTAGGACTCAGCCAGGTGTGGCTACAGAATTGCAGTTTGACCGGCAGTATTTGGTGTGGGGCAGAAGGGGAGTGGTCAGCCACAGGTGTCTAGTGTAAAGCTAATTTGGTACGACGTGGTCGAATAGTAGAGCTTATGACTGCTAACTCGAAAGTTTTGGGTTTGGAATCCGAGCTCGAGTCCGTATGACGTCCCTGACTCCACAGTTATAGGTACATGAAAATGTCATAATTCTGTAACACCTATATTCAAAAGTAGCCGTTCCGGCGAGGTCTTGCCCTGGCATATCGTTGTAGGTACGCTATAGAAGTACGTATAGTTTCTTCCAGGCATCTCTTCGGGGGGGGGGGGGGGATTTACATAGAAAATATATACTTTTCACAATGTCCGCCCCCCCCCCCCCCGGAGAAAATGTCTGGAATAAGCACTGGAATTACTGGATACAAGAGAAAAGCTCAAGTGATACTAGCTAGTGCCTAGTCGTGCCACACCGAGTTTATGTTCCTGATCTCAATCCTCGGTTTGTGTCCATAAGTGTATGGTATTTATACAAAGTATTCTCCCCTTTATTTGAAACATAACTTCACCCATTACCCAAGGCAAAAATAGAATTTTGAACCAGTTATCGT